TACAACCATACAAAAGGTTAGTTTTAAATTTTCATATATATATATATATTATGTAATATATTATACTTAAAATTATATATTATAGCATATTATACATAATATATTTGTTAGACTTTGGATCTAAAGATGGCCCAATTGGGCGCCCATAGTGGGCTTGACCTATGTGCCATTATTTATTTAATTAGAATTTATTTAATTAAATAAATAATCCCTAGTTATTAGGGATACCTATAATTGATAGGAATTTTTTGAATAAGGACCATATCACCGCATATTAGACATATTGAAACTGAGTCAAAAATATCATATACGTGATATTTTTCTCTTCTCCCTCTTCTTCTTTCTTCTTCACGTTCTTTATCGAGAGGGTTCTTGGACTGTGGATTAATTGTGATTGTTCGGGCTATGCCTTTGTAACAATCATACACCATGAGCAATCAAAGATGTGGTGAAGATCGTGTTCAAAGAGAATCGTGGCTAGAAGCATAGAGATCATGCTCGTAATGATGGAATATCGTGAGGCTTCTCGTGACGATTCATGGACTAGTGTCAAACCAGAAATCCGACACGGCACTATTGAAACGCTACTACATACATACCTAGGGTATTTTTGTTCCTTTAATATCAATTTTTTTAAAAAGATATATAATTAAACGGAGCAGGTAAACGAGGAATAGGGTCAGAGACATCTAAACCTATTGCCGTCCCGCAACTCACGACGAGTTAAAATTACAACCCGAATCCATTTAAAGTAGATTTTCTCATCCCGTTTAATACGGGTCCCCGCGAAAAAATAGGTTAAGAGGTAAAATTGTCATCCCTAATTTAAAAGATAGTTTTGGAGTTGTTTGAAAGGTGGTATCGTTCATCACAGTGATATTAGACATAGTATAAACATGATATTGAGAACTTAGTTAGGGGTCTTTTGCCAAAAGAAGCTGGGAGAGGACGTTCAAAGAGTGGTTTTATAACTCTTATCTTCATCTTCATTGAATATCATTGATTGAGTAAATGTAGGCGTAATTAAAATCTGGTGTCTTTTTACATATCATCTCAGCGCTCATCTTTTCATTTTCCTTTATTGTATAATCATTTGATATTTCTTCCACATTCATTAAAATTATTACTGGTATGCAATTATTGTCTTTATTGACAAAAAAACGCGTCAACAATTAGCGATAGTAGGAGGACCCTTCTTGGTCATTCCATTCCATATTGCCCTGAGCTGTCCTATGGACCAACAAATAATGGAAGCCTTTCCACATGGACCTTCTACCATAAAACACGGGGTATCAAAGCAAAGTCAACTATTCATCCGTGCCATGTTTGTATCGTTAGGATCGAATCTTCATTAGACTGAAATTCAAATACCATCGCTCTAAACGTAGTATTCCTTCAATCGCAAGTGTATTCAAGTTGTGCAACATTATTTTAGGCACAAAACTCAAAAGATTGAAGGGAAGACGACGCTGTGTTTTAATGGCATGAAAACAACAACAAGAGTAAAAAAAAAAAAAAAAAAAAAAAAAAGGAGGGAAAAAAAGGATATTGTATTCAACAAAAAAAAAAAAAAAATTGAAACAAGCAAGAAAATTTGATAGGGTACCCATTAGTTTTATATTTCTATTTAAGTGCACCAAAAGTTAATAATAATAATAATAATTGAACATAGAAAAAAATCAATTGGCATCCTAAGAAAAGTGGATGAATTTAATCTGTATGGACAATGTGATAATGTTACAAATGAAACTCATCTCCTTCTCTTCTTTCTTTTTAAATACCAAATGAAGGAGAATGATAACAATAATCATTTTTTCCGATCATATACCGTATAATTTTAAGGAAAATTATATTTATCCATCATTTCTTTGACACTTTCCGTCATTTCTACCCTATCCATCTTTTCTTCGTCCACGCTATCAGTGTGTACAGCGCCCCACTCGCTCCACAAGCTGTGATATATATTCATTATATCTATATATATATAGATAGATATCAATACACGAACATTCATTCAACCTCACCATATGTTATTAGATATATAACATCAGCATCCACACTCGCTGTGATCAATTCATTCACGAGTTTTCAATAATTACGTTTCCATTATATAAACACACAAATTTTCATTGAATAAATATTATTTTAAAACATTTACATCAACATCTGCATATATGTGTGTAAAACTTAAACTTACATGTGGATCCTTTGTCTACGATCTCAGCAATTCGGCCAAAGGTAACGCAAGGACACCAGAAAGTTAAGCAGCCTAGAAAGAAAAACAAAAAGAGGCCAAAGATCAGATCTGATTGGTTAATTTAATTTACGCTATTTGGGAATTTGAAGCTTAATTACAGTTTTTGACGTCGGAGAAGCAGTCGAAGAGAGGCCGGTCGACCAGGGGCCCAGAGCACGTGATGAGTACATGACGGTTTCTTGAGGGGAAAAAGCAGGCAAGATATTGTTGTTTTAATGGGAATGAAGTTGTGGATATGAGACCAGAAAAGTGGAGTGGAGAAGATGGTATTTATAGAAAGCTACATAGGATAGAGAAATGATAATTTAAGAGTATTAGAAGGTTATATTATTGTTTAGTGGCAGTTTTAGGTTTTGTGTAAATTTCTAACCATATAAACCGTAAATTCTAGATTGCACTAGTCACTCTGGTCTCATATTGTAGTTGTAGATCGTGTGAATTTCTAACCATATAAAAGTTTGTACAAGTGGTTGTCGTGCAAGTTTGTAAAATAAGAAGTAACCGCTGTTGTTCAAATAATAATAATAATAATAAATAACTAAAAGAGTACTGTTGTTGTAGGATAGTTTTTGTCAGCATATGATTGTGAATTTTCAGACAAAGGCTACCATCAACACAATAAATTAATTTTCATAGAACATTTGTAATGAAAAAAGAAAATCAATCCAATACTTCAATTGTGACGTTTTGAAAATCTCATTTTACTTAAGTTAGGAGTGTTTAAACACTTGACAAATAAAAAATAAAATTTTACGCCTTTTTAGAGATAGGGGCTTTCCAAGAATAGAGAGAGGGTGCATTCTGGGGTCGGTGGTCTGGTGTTTAGCTGGGCTGCCAACTTTCAAAGTTCTTTGGAAAGATTGCAGAGGTCAACGGCGTCAAGTTCGTGTCAATAGAAGTATGGGTAGTCACCGTGAGTGGAGCCGTTCAAGAGGAGGAAGTCATCGTTCCTCTACCGTAGATTTAGGACGCGTTTGTCGTGGGATTCCGTTGAAACTCTAGGTCGCGGAAGGGAAGCGAGGAAGGTGGACCGGCGCATGTGGCAGTCGCAGCCCGCCGAAGACGGCGCGTGAGATCCATGCACTGCCGTATTTCTGATGCTTCCGTTGCCGTTTCAGGTGCTTTTTTCTAACACCGCTCCTACAGTGTTTCACATATTTCCGACACTAAGGGGCTTGATTTTCCACCCAACAAACAAGCTCTCTAACCTTTTTTTTTTGTAATGTGCTTTAATCAGCCTAACTCACTTTGCTCCTCTCTCTCCCTCTCTCTCACAACAAAAACAGTGGGGGCCTAGGAATAGCACTAACTATTTGCATTGCATGGTCCTGAAACAAGGGAAATAGCCACGTTATCAGTTTTTTGTATATGTTTGGTTCTAGTCATTGGTCTTAAAGAGCAGAGAGATTCCCATCTCCAAAAAAGCGTCTTTGTTTTCTTTTTAAGAAACCAGCTCAGAAGAAAAAGAAACCTTGCACTTGGACGGCACAGAGATTCCACATCCCATTAGGGAGAGAAAAAAAAAAAAAAAAAAAAAAAAAACAAAAGTTCAAATAATGTCGTCAAAATTGTGGTCACCTTGACATGCGCATTTTTTTTATTTCTCTCTTTTATCAATTGTAGTTTTGTAATGTGCTCCATGTATTACCGTGTTAGAGACACCTGAAGAGTTTATTATTTATCAAATAATAAGAAATTTCATTTATACAATTTTTAAATTTATTTTTAAAAGAAATATATGTAAAGAAAATAATTGACAAAAAATTTAAGTAAGGACACATTTAAAAAAAATTATTTTAACTAACAAAAAATAAGATAAGAATACATGTGAAAAAAATTACTCTTATAGGAGTAAAGCGAGAAATAACATATTTTTAAGAAAACAGACAAAAAAAATTAAAATGTAAAAAAAAAATTCACAAAAATAAAGATAAAAAAGGTTAAAAAAAGTAAAGGATTACCACGTAGCAATCCTATAAAGAAAAATTTTGGCTCATTTATGTATTGTTAGATTAGTTAAAATCACGTGCTGTGTACAAGAGAATCCCTTGTGAATATTATTTTTTTTTAGTTATTTTAAAGTAGTTAAGCCTTCGTTTATATTTTTTTAGTTATTTAAAAGTATTTAAGCCTTCGTTTTAATTTTTTAGATTTATTTAAACCATAATTTATCACTTCTATGGGAAAGGAAATTATAATTTTATGGTTTGAATTACACCTTCATATCTTGTTTATAAAAGTAGATATACTAAATTTTACGTCCTAGTCAAAACACGTGTTTTGATATTATTAAAGAACAATGAGTTAAATGAAACAGATCAAATAATAATAAAAAAGAGCTAATTAGAGGATACATATGAGAAGGAAAAAGATGATTAACTAAAGTCACATTTGAGAAAAAAACTATTTCGATGGTGTATCAGAAAAAAAAACAAGAAAATTATATATAAAGGTCACATTTGAGAAAATAACTTTTTAGAAGATTGTTCGGAAAAATAAAAATTATTAGAGATACATTTGAGAAAAAATAATATTTTATTTTTCATAAAAAATAAATAGACAGAAATAAATGTTTCCATGTTAGATGTGTTTGCTGAATATTTTATATGTATAAAACATATAACATATTGTAGGAAAATAATTTTTATCGGAACAAATAAATGAAAAAGTAAATAAGAGTAAATATGAAAAGAAAAAGAATGTTTAAACAAGGATAATATCTAAAATTATTTTAATAAGGGCAATTAGAAAAAAAAATGAACTTTTAAAGGTCTAAATTAAAATGTACAAATTAGAAGAATCAAATATTTTAATAAATTATATTTCAAAATTTGATATATTGTTTTACAGTTTTAAAGAAAAAACTAAAACGAAAAAGAAAAGAGAAATAAAACACAATGTACAAAAAGGTTAAACATGTCCTGCAGGAAAAATAAGGTGTAAAAGAAAGAAAAGAAAATAAGAACACACAAAAAGACAAAATAGTGAGACCAAACTTTTGAATAGTGCTCAATGGAAACTCTCACTTATTTGGACTCCAGGTGTTTTACATATGGAGAGTATCCGTGTGTTATATTTTAATTATCGTGTTTTTATTAAAGCATATAAAGTAAAGTGTTAGGACGAGAAGCTAAAAAAATGTTTAAAAGGTTTAAAATGAAGAAATAAATGACTCTGAGAGAAAATATTTATGGAGGTCATACTTGATAAAATAACATTTTTGAGGATTATATGAACAAAAAAAATCAAATAAGGATGTGTTTGAAATAATGATTTCAATGGGGTAAAAAAAAATATTTTAAGGGCTATATTAATTAAATGTATATTTTAGAGGATTGAAATGAAAGTTTAGGAAACAAGGTAAAAAAAAATCAAATAAGGATGTATTTGAAATGATTATTTAAGTGGGGTAAACATTTATTTTAAGGGGTATATTTGTTAAATGTATATTTTAGAGGATTGAAATGAAAGGTTAGGAAAGAAAATTAAAAAAAAAACCACAAAAAGACAACGAATAATGTTTCTGAGTGTGTAAATAGTAAAGGTACTCATTCTTCTTATATAGTTTATAGTTTCTAGATTTATAGATATAGAAATATAAAAGAATCTCCTAAAAATGTTAAAACCATATACAAAAAAATAATTTCTGATAGGTCAAATTTTTAAAAATCAAATACTACCCTTATTAAGATTAATAGGGTATTAGTTACTATTTTGAATATTAATTTAATAAAATTAAACAAACACATTTTAAAACTTAAAATTTCAAAAATTCAACAAGCCCAAAAAAAAGTTGAAAAAAATGCTCATTTGGTATAATTTTAGTTAACTGATATTTAAGTTTATAGTCATTGGAGAAATAATATAGAGAAAAATATTTAACAGTATACATATAAGAAAATAACACATGAGAAGATTACCAACAAAAATAAGTAAAATTAAGCATTTATAAGGGTCATTATTGAAAAAAAAAGAATATTTTAGAATATTGCAAGAAAAATTAGTTAAGGAATATTTGAGAAACATTATTTTAATAAGCTATATTATAAAAAAAACTATTTTAATTTTACAAGTTTGAAAATAGAAGATATTTTAAAAATAAAATGTATACACTAAAGTACATATTTCCATAAAAATGTTTGTTTTAGTTTAGTCTTGTATATGTAAAGAATATATAAGAAGGAAAAATGTTTAAAAAACAATATTTTAAAAGAGCCATTAAAAGAGAAAGTATAGAAAGACTGAAATGGTGGAGACATATTTTGATAGGTAAAAAGTAGAGACTAAAAGAAACAAGTATTGTGAAAAAAAGAAAAGATCAAGGTACAATTGACATATATGGAGAGTCTAAGGAGCTCTTCGTTTCGTGGATTCAACTTGAGTAAGCCCAACTCAAGTTGAGTCCACGACCCAAATTGTTGTTCGGTGAGAGGAGTTAGAATTGTGATTCAAATCAAAATTCGAGTTAATGCCCGTGAATTGGAATTCAACCACTAATGGAATTCCATTAATTTGAACCAATTGCTACAGTACCCGAGTTCTGCACAACCCATGCTTTTTCTCTTGGATTCTCTGCGCGCCTCACCGTTTCTTTTGTTTTCTTCCCTCTTTCACCGACAGCTCTCTCTTCTCTGTCCATTCCCATCATCTACAGTGTTGATTCCCTGTAAATTGATTCCCCGATTCGACGAACACAACCCCGCGTGGTGAAGCTATAACCCAGATCTTGTTCCGTTTGAGCCAGATCTTGTTCTATTGACCGAGGAAACCTTTCCTTGCCGTTCACCGATTTGCCCAAAACGGAGAAAATAGCTCCAAGTAGTAGTTCCCGACATCCTCTGCTGGCCATTGTTCTATGTAGATGTCTTCGCCACCGTTGATCTCAACCTCTGCACCGCCGTAATTAGTGGAGATATTGTGTTGGTCGTAGGTGGGGGTGGAGAATTTTTCGTACTTCATCAGAATCACGTTTGGGGCTATTGACGGAGGAGCATACTCATTCTTCCACCGGATCGAACAAGGTAAATTTCTTGGCCCTCCTCGCTTTGCCATAGTGATTTGGTTACACATTTGAACAAATATTAAGTATAAAGTAAACTATAAATATGAAAGTATATGTTAACTTGTAAAGGAAAAAGAATATTCTAATGCGATAACATACATTATCATGGTTGTATATGTTGGGAATAGTGTCCTAGAAGTATGAGATGTAATAGGATATTTATTATTTAATTAATAAAAGAGTTTATTCATCATTTTATGTGCATATATTTATGAATATTTTATGAATATCAAATGAAAATTCCGTGATTATATATGTAACCTTAAACATTGTATATAAGTGTTATATACGAGAGGATAATGTTTAAGGATAATAATAAAAAACGTTGTTCATAATGAATTTAATTAAAGTTCGGAATCTTTAATTAAAATATTATTAATACATGTCATTCCCATTTAAAATG